ATTAGTAATAAATTAATGCCATTTAATATTCTCTTCAACTCCCACCTCACTTGCCACCCCCCACCGTTTCTGCTGCCTTCATGGAAGTGGTGATGGGTGTATGGAAGGCAACAATAACAAAAACCGGGACTCTAAAGGCCCAAGACTGTGAAAAGTCATCTTCACTTTTCTTAGGAGGGCAGGGGTTACCGAGGAAATACTTAGAAGTAAGGCATCCAGTGGTGTTCATTCTTGAAATGGAGGTGTGGATCACATGGAGAATAATGACATGTTCTGTGTGGAAATGCTGCAGGCTCATCATTGATGGCATTAGTTTGCATTTTTTATTTTAGTACAATTTTAGATTTGTAGAAAAATGTTGAAGGTGATACAGAATTCCCATGTATTATACACTCATCTTCCCCTAATTAAGATCTTACAGTAATAGACACATTTTCACAATTATTGAACCAGGACTGAATAGTTTTGTTAACTAAAATCCATACTCTGTTCAGATTTCTTTAGCTTTTACCTAATAACTGTTCTCTGTTCTAGGATCCCATCCAGGATATCACATTCCATTTAGCTGTCCTGTCTCTTTAGGCTCCTCTTGACTGTGACAGTTTCTCAGATTTCTTTGTTTCCTTGTTTTTGATGATCTTGACATTTTGAAGAGTTTCAGGTATTTTATAGAAAGCCCCTCAGTTGGATTTAGTCTGTTACTTTCCTCACGATTAAACTGGGGCTGTGGGTTTTGGGGAGAAGGAGCACAGAGGTAAATCGCCGTTCTCATCATATCATACTAACAACATGGTGTGGAGCTCTTGATACTGACCATAATTACCTAGCTGAGGCACTGCTTTTCAGGTTTCCCACTGAAAAGTTTCTCCCCCGGTTTCATCCTCTTTGAAAGGAAGTCACACTTAAGGAGAAAGGGGAGTTGTGTTCCACCTCCTTAAGGGTAAAGGGAGGGGGTCAATCTACATGCATTATTTGGAATTTTGCACAAGAGATTTATTTCTTCACTCCCTTTTTAATTCAATCAGTTGCTCATTATCAATACAGACTTACTGTTACTTGTGTGTAGTTTGGGTTAGTATCTAATAGTACTTTGATTCTTGTTTGATTTGTTCCACCTTGGCTATTGAGAGCTCTTCTATTTGGCTCCTGTATCCCCTTGACATATCACACCCCCCGCCATCTTTGCATTTTTCTTGGAGTACTTCCTTCTCTTTTGGCACTGTAAGATGCTCTAGGCTCATTTTCTATATTTCCTGCCCAGTTATATTTCCTGCCCAGTTCCAGCATCAGCCATTTCTGTAAGGATTGTTGTTGTTCTATTGCTAAGTTGTGTCTATTTGTGACCCCCAGGACTGCAGCACACCAAGCTCCTCTGTCCTCCACCGTCTCCCAGAGCATGCTCAGATTCATGTCCATTGAGTCGGTGATGTTGTCTAACCATCTCATCCTCTGCCGCCCTCTTTTCCTTTTACCTTCCATCTTTCCCAGCATCAGGGTCTTTTGCAGTGAGTCAGCTCTTTGCATCAGGTAGCCAAAGTATTGGAGCTTCAGCATCAGACCTTCCAATGAATATTCAGGACTGATTTCCTTTAAGATTGACTGGTTTGGGCTCCTTGCAGTCCAAGGGACTCTCAAGAGTCTTCTCCAGCACCACAGTTCTAAAGCATCAGTTCTTCGGTGCTCACCTTCTTTATGGTGCAACTCTCATATCCATACATGTTGTTGTTGTTCAGTCTCTGTCTGACTCTGCAACCCCCTGGACTGCAACACGCCAGGCTTCCCTGTCCGTCACTATCTCCTCGGCTTTGTAGTTTTTATAGCTTGCCGTGTAGGAGTGCTGATCATACCTAGTTTGTTTATTTGAAAGTGTTAGGCAGTTTTAAGCCAAATATTATTTATTTCCAAGTGCATGTTTGCAGAGTCTTTGGCTTCCTTGAAGAAATTTGACAAGGAAAAATAGATTGTGAAAAGAGGTAAGGGTCAAAATAGTCTGCACTGATTTGGTTTGGTTGAAAATTCTGGTCTGCTGCCTGTGACTGCCACTTTTCCCCATAGCTCATCCAGGTGCTGGGCAGTGTGACCTTTCCTAGTTTAAGTGACAGAGGACTTGGCACACCCACCCCACTAGAATGGGATGGCAATTCTCCCAGTGAGTAATTCCTGGAGGGTTTCTGGTGTAATGTGTGAAAGTCACTTTGCATGTGTTCTTAACCCTAGTGGAATTCATAGATCTAGGATTTAATGGACATGAAGAAAGATCCCTTTTCTTTCAGTTGTAGAGAATTTTTTCAGAATTCATATGGGAGAAGCCAGCAAGACTATTGTTAATCTTTGCCTAGTTTGGTGTATGCATAATGGCATAACAGTTTCAGAGTTATTAACATGATGACTTTTGCATATGAAAAACAAGCATTTAAAGACAACCTCCAAAAAAAAAAAAGAAAGAAAGACAACCTCCTTTTAGTGTCATAGATCCCATTTTGGCCCTGGCTACCTACTGTATTGTATGCACATGTATTTTCATTGTTTAGAAAGAGCAAGAAATTAATGATGTCACTTAAAAAGTAATTCAGTTCTGAAAATATATTCTGAATAGACCCCCTAAAAAATTTGTGTTTACTTCCAAATTCCAGGTATGTGATTTAAATTTTCTTTATTTAAAAAAAAAACAAACTTCCTTTTCAGAAAAAAAAAAATTTCCCCCAATAAATCATATCCTGTACCACGTTGGAGATTAATGTAGATGTTGAGATAATTTCTTCTAAGAATTCATTTGAGTTCTTTCTTTGCTCTGTAAGTTGTTGTAATGTGCTGAAATGTTAGCTCATCAAAAGGTAGATTATTTAGGCAGCTATGGTTCTTTATTATTTTTAGAAAATTTTCCATAATTATTATTTCATTTGTTTTCAGGTTAAGAAAGAGTTTATTAACACCATAATCTGGAGACACTGGAAACCGCCACTCACAATGCTGTATGTGCACAATGATTATTAGGCAATCCACATATCAGGAAAAGGGGCATTCTTTCATAAGGTAAGTGACTGAGTGACATAGGTTGTCTGTGCTCTTCTAGGGGAAAATCCATTTAGTTTTTATTTCTAATTCAGATTACCTAATGTATACTAAACACAACACTTGCTAAAAGAAAATCTGGGTTTGTTTTGATATTGTTTAAATCTTTTTCCCTGTATAGAATGCCTTGTTTAAGTGCCAAGGTAATCATCCCAGTTAAAAAAAAAAAAAAATCTGTTATAGGTGATTGTTTTGAGTATATGGTAGTAGTTTCTGTGAATTTCTTCAAATGGTTTTTACCTTCCCTTATAATGCTAAAAATAAGCAAAAACTTAGCCCAGAAGGATTCTTGGTTTTAAAATTTCTAAGGCAAGAGACTTAATTTTAATGTCAGTTGAAAAAGTAATTAAGTAGAAAGATAAGGGGAAGTCATGTTTCTTAAGAAAACAAATTGTCAGAAAATTTCTCATTTTCCAGTTTTTTTGAGGAAACAGTTCTTTGTAGCAGTGGTCTGATATTTTTTAAATTACTTTACTTTGTAAAGATACTTAGGAGTTTGTATCAATAATAGCCATTTTCTGTGTATAAACAAGGTAGGATATTTGATTACACCACTGAGCTAAGTTATGACCTAAGTTACCTTAAGCTGACCTTTGCACCATCTATAGGGATAAGTGTTCCAAGGTAAATTATTATTGGTAACAAGATTGTCCCAAGATGTCTAACCTACATATGAGACCAGAATGTCTTTAAGGGACTTTCACATAATTTTTTTTTTTTTTTAGAAGTGGAAGCTACTCATTAGGAGGTGAGTCTAATCTAGTCCTTAAGGTTAGCCCAGGTGGAATGGCTTCTTAAAATTATGTTTTAAGTTTCTGTGTGTATTTAAAAACTTAGAAATACACTAAAAAAAGTTTTTGTATACACACATGTAAAATGTAACTTTTCATCAATTCAATTTGAACTTTTCCTATTTGCATGAAGGAAATTTCATTTTATACTGAGTTTGAGTACACACCTCTTTTGACCTATTAGAAAGTGTAGAAATTCAATATACTACTTTTACTTTTTTCATGTGGTTAATCAACAGATTGTTTAGACTTCTTTTCTTTTAAAATATTTTTTATGATGTTGCTAGTTTGCATATTTGTAGAATAAAACTTCTGGAAAATGGAAATTAGAAAAGTGCCAAAGAAATTTCACAGAAAAGGAGGAGTAGTAAATTGTGTTTCCTAAAGTGGAAAGGATAGATAGAGAAACAGAAATGAAAGGAATGTAAATATAATCTGCACATTTTTTTCCTCTAATTTGCTTAACCCCACCTACTTCCCCTTCCCCTCCCCCCAGCTTTCCACTCTTTGGGGCTAAAAATAAAATATTATTGAAATATTTTGGGAGACCAGCCTAAAGGTCTTTGCCTTTTTTTAAATGTTAAACTGCTTCTCATAGTTGAAGGTCTTTAGTCTTCCTAGTCTATGAATTGTCCATTTGATACTCAGTATTTACTGATTGATGTGTGATAGATTTCTTGAATAGTTTATAACTTAAATTTTCCATGTGATTTAGGTAAATGTGAAATCCTAAAACAAGTGCTCGTTTGCTCCCTCTGTTGTATCCATCTTCAGCTGCCCAGCATCACCTTCCCTTTTATGTTGTATTCATTGATACTTGCTTTGCATTTACAAAAGGCTGTAAGAGGAAATTTCCTGTTTCAGCATTTTAGGACTTTATGTCTTGCTTTCTTTTTGAAATCTTTAATAATCTTAGGGAAATTACTGAAAGTTCTGGTCAAAACAGATACATGTTAATTTGTTATAGTATGAATTGTCATCACTAAGGCTTACATGAGTTAGCAATGGAAAATTCTGGGTATTTAATGAACACACTGTCAGGTGTCAAGTATTCTAAATGTTATGTACTGTGCCTACCCTTCAAGGCTGATCCCTGTGACCTAATGAATCCTTTGTAAAAAAGTGGACTCAGCTAGGATGTTACACCACCATTGTCGGAGGAACCCTGAACTCCAGGAAGAGTTGCAGATTCAAGCTGCAGTGGCTGCCGGGGATGTTCACACAGTGCGGAAGATGTTAGAGCAAGGCTACTCTCCAAATGGCCGGGATGCCAATGGCTGGACCTTGCTTCATTTCTCTGCAGCAAGAGGAAAGGAAAGATGTGTTCGAGTATTTCTAGAGCATGGAGGTGAGTTTACTAGGAGCAAACCTTGTTTCCCCAAGGAGAAGCAAATGAAATTCTGTTTAGTTTAAAGTAATGTGTGCATGTGTATATAATTTCTAATGCTTCTTTTTTCTAATACTCGACTTCTCTCCTTTGTAAAGATGTTATAATTATGCTGAGTTTTGTTTAAAACCAGATTGTCTAAAAAATTGGTTTGTTGAATGTGCCTTTTTTCCCCTTGTAACTCTAGTTTCTATATAGCCAGATTTCCCCAGATTATTACAACTAAAAGCAACCATTCTTCAGGTTGTCCCCTTGCTTTGTTTCAGAAGCAGAAGTGGCTGTGGTCCCAACAACTAAGAATTGCTCAAGTTCCCCCTGTTGAGAATTGCTCAAGCAGACAGAGATACCATAGGCCCCTATAAATACCATGGCCTTCATGATACCCTATCTTTTGAATTTATCTCTTCTAAAAGCATTTTTAGATGCTTTTATTGCTGTTTTTAGCTCTTGCCTTTTCTAGAATTGCACATAGTTTCTAGGTTCCTACAAGAGTATCTGAGGTCTAATTTTATATATAGTTGGAAGCTACATTTGCCATTTTATGTTTTTGCTTTGAAAAACTGTCCATTCCCATAATTAATAGTAACTAATAATTGTCTTAAACTTACTTTTTTCCCAATTAGATTTCCACTTAATTTATTTTCCTAAAGTGTACAAGATGAACACTTGTACAAGATGAACAAGTGTATTTTTTTGTACTCATACTATTTTGTAAATTATGATGTAAAGCAGCTTAGTTGGAACTCAGGATTCATTATGTACTACTCTAGGGCCTGGATTGCTTATTAACAATCATTTAGTTCCATTTTTATGATGTACTTTGACTAGTCAAACTTGGAAGCTATTTTGAAGTATGGAAAATGTTAGAAGTTGCACAGCTGTCATTAGGGTCTTGTGAATTTTGTGAAGATAGGAATATGAAGGCTGTGAGCGTGGACTAACTTCAGGCCACTGCTAAACTGAGACTAGGAATCATCACTTGTCTGAGTGGCCCTGAAATAAGAATTATGTCCCCGAAATAGCTGGCAGTTGACAGGACCCCGCCATTTGCTGGCCTGGGCCTCCTTTGTGGCTGTCTTCCGCTCCTCCTTGTCGCCCTTGCTCATGCCTCATTTTACCTTGAAACTTGAAAACCTCAGTGCAGAAGGCCATGAAGGAGTACTGTATGAGGAATGTCAGAAGAAAGATCTGGAAAAACTAAGAAGTGGGTATAGAATCAGAATAGTTAAAATTCTGATACTGCTTAGTAAAATGAAGGAACCGAATTCAGATTTTTAAATTCTACCTAGTTGTGTTACTTTCTGCATCTGCCAGCCTTGCTTTTAAAAAACTAATTAAAAAAGAAAGATCAATTACTCATCTTTCACCACAACCAACTTTGAAACATTTCCATTACCCTGAAAAGAAGTCTTGTCCCCAAAAAGAAGTCTTGTACCTATCCCATAGTAATACATACAGGTTTATGTGTGTGTGTTTAGTCACTCAGTTACATCCAACTCGTTGTGACCCCATGGACCATAGCCTGCCAGGCTCCTCAGTCCATGGAATTCTTCAGGCAATACTGGAGTGGGTTACCATTTCCTCCTCCAGGGATCTTCCTGGCCCAGGGATCAAACCCACATCTCTTACTTCTCCTGCATTGGCGGCAGATTCTTTACCACGGTGCCACCTGGGAAGCACATGTAGGTTTAGTTTAGTCTCTTCTTTTCAACTGCTGCTAAGTTGCTTCAGCCGTGTCCAACTCTGTGCTACCCCATAGACGGCAGCCCACCAGGCTCCCCTGTCTCTGGGTTTCTCCAGGCAAGAACACTGGAGTGGGTTGCCATTTCCTTCTCCATTTCAACTGCTAGGTAGTGTTTATTAGTATGGATATACTATCATTTGTTTAAATCATCCTTTTTTATTTTTTGAGAGAGGCTGAAAGTTTCTCAGTAGGACATTTTATTTGTTGAGAAAGTAACACGTGATCCATATACATGATTAACATCTAAAGGAAAGGTGTAATGAACAGACTGTTGAGAGGGAAACGTCTGCCTTTCAGTGCGGATCTCTTCCTCTCCTTCCCAGAAGCACTCTTACTGAATTCTTTTGTGTCCCTGAAGAGAGTCTGTGCATCTATGTGTGCATATTTTTCCACCCGCCACCTCCTCGCCTGCTTCCCTTTTGTTAATCGTTGGTTCTGCATCTTGATTTTTTCATAAAACAGTTTCCCTAAGTGATAGTTCCCTTGTCACTGATTCCATTGTATGGATGTAATTTCTTTAAACTTACTCCCTTTTGTTGGACATTCTAATTTTTCATTTTCTTCTTCTAGGAACACTATTACAGAGAATGTCCTTGACTAATCTTTTTACATGTGAGTTTATCTCTTGGATAATTCCTAGAAGTGCTATCAAAGGATCGTTAGTTTTTTTTTTTTTAATGGGTATTGACAAATTGTCCTCCAAAGAATGTTGCTAATGGCTTTGTCCCTAGCAGGTGTGAGAGGGCCCGGGCCCCTGCCTTTGCCAGGAGTATATAGCTTAGTGGTTTGCTCTTCTGTGTGACTTGCTTGCTTCCCCTGCCCCCCGCAAAAGCAACATGAGGAACAAAGCCTTGCAGGACTGGGCTGCTTGTGCATCTTTTTCTGATTGCTTGTAGGAGTTGTTTGTATATTCTCTGCTGTTAGTTGTATGTTGCAACAGTCTTCTCCCAGTTGGTAGCTTTTTCACTTTCTTGTTTTGCTTGTTTTTATTGGGCAGAAGTTTACATTTTAAGTAAATTGTGTTTTCTTTTGGCTTATGAGTTGTGCTTTCTGTGTCTTGTACATCATACCACAGGGTCAAATTTTTTTTCTAAAAAGTTTCATGATGTTTAGGACCTTAATCTATTCCGGGCTGGTTTTGGTGTATCACACAGTTACAATTTCATAGATAAAGGAAGCCTACATCATCCCTTCTTTCTCATGCCAGCATTTATGGTTCCATTAATTCTATTGTTAGGATGTCCCTAGGTGAGTATAGTATTGTTGTAAATTATTGTTCTCTAAGAAGCTTTAATATCTGGGAGAGCAGATCTCTGCTCTCTGTTCTTTAGGGTTGTCTTGGCTAATGCTTGTTGTTGGTGTCTCAGCTGCTACATTGTATTTGACTCTCTGCTGCCCCATGGACTACAGCCTGCCAGGCTCCTCTGACCATGGGATTTCCCAGGCAAGAATATGGGAGTGGGTTTTCATTTCCTCCTGCAGGGGATCTTCCCAACCCAGGGATTGAACCCGCATTTCCTGCATTGGCAGGCAGATTCTTTACCACTGAGCCACCTGGGAAGCCCTGGCTAATCTTATCACTTTGATTTCCATATAAAATTTTAAAACAGCAGAATTACATATTTTGCAGAAATCCCTCACTTACTCTTGTATAGCACGTTTTACTTCTTCCTTTTTCATGGTTCCTTAGTAGAATAAGAACTTAATGGAGTAGTTTTTAATGGCACATCATGTGTCAATTTGGGAACATAAATAGGAGTGGAGCCCTCCTGCTCTCCGCTTGCCTTGGCCCTGTGTGCCGTTAGACGCGCTCTGTGTTCGTCTTGGCCTGGCTTCTGATCTCCAGGCCGGTGCTGCCTGTTCAGCGTCTCCTCACTCGCGGCTCGTAGCGCAGCATGAGCTGCTGCTTGACCGTCTTCCTCTGCAGTGAACGGCACCAAGGCCGTGCCAGAAACCTAGGAGCTGTCCTTCTACATAGTTGTCAGATCGCTTCACTCCCTTTCGTTGGAGGCGCTGTCCTGTCTCTGGGTGTGGAGACCGTATTCCTCACCGGAACTCTTAAATGTCTCTTTCATCCCTGCTTCCAGTAGCACCGTCCTGGCCAGTCTCCAAATCTCTTAAAAATGACAGTTAAAGTATGTCTTCTTAAAATCCATCAGTGGCTTCCCCCTTCTCTCGGGGCAGTTCAGTTCAGTCGCTCAGTCGTGCCCGACTCTTTGCGAACCCATGAACTGGCGTGCTGCGATTCATGGGGTTGCAGAGTCGGACACGACTGAGCGACTGAACTGAACTGAACTGAAGCGCAGCATGCCAGGCCTCCCTGTCTATCACCAGCTCCCAGAGCTTACTCAAACCCATGTCCATCGAGTCGGTGATGCCATCCAGCCATCTCATCCTCTGTCATCCCCTTCTCCTGCCCCCAATCCCTCCCAGCATCAGGGTCTTTTCCAGTGAGTCAACTCTTCACATGAGATGGCCAAAGTATTCGAGTTCAGCTTCAGCATCAGTCCTTCCAATGAACACCCAGAGCTGATCTCCTTTAGGATGGACTGGTTGGATCTCCTTGCAGTCCAAGGGACTCTCATTGAGAGTCTTCTCCAACACCATAGTTCAAAATCATCAATTTTTTGGCGCTCAGCTTTCTTCACTGTCCAACTCTCACATCCATACATGACCACTGGAAAAACCATAGCCTTGACTAGATGGACCTTTGTTGGCAAAGTAATGTCTCTGATTTTTAATATGCTATCTAGGTTGGTCATAACTTTCCTTCCAAGGAGTAAGAGTCTTTTAATTTCATGGTTGCAATCATGATATGCAGTGATTCTGGAGCCCAAAAAAATAGTCTGACACTGTTTCCACTGTCTCCCCATCTATTTCCCATGAAGTGATGGGTCCAGATGCCATGATCTTAGTTTTCTGAATGTTGAGCTTTAAGCCAACTTTTTCACTCTCCTCTTTCACTTTCATCAAGAGGCTTTTTAGTTCCTCTTCACTTTCTACCATAAGGGTGGTATCATCTGCATATCTGAGGTTATTGATATTTCTCCCAGCAATCCTGATTCCAGCTTGAGCTTCCTCCAGCCCAGCGTTTCTCATGATGTACTCAGCATATAAGTTAAATAAGCAGGGTGACAATATACAGCCTTGATGTACTCCTTTTCCTATTTGGAACCAGTCTGTTATTCCATGTCCAATTCTAACTGTTGCTTCCTGA